GAGGAATCGACGAAAAGGGAGTGGGGTAAATGTAGACAGACCTCCCACACCCTACTAGACCGCCCCGCTACGGATATGGTGGGAAATCATGCCCAAAAAAGTGGGCAGACCCAAGTCCAAAGAAGAGGTGTTGAGACAACCCCTGTTCGACAATCCTTGGGTAAAGGACGCGAGTGACCACCCTTTAACCCTTAAACCTAGAGGAAGGAGATGGCTATCTTGGATAAGACATGGAGTTTGGAAAGTTTGCCACATATGGGATGAGGATAAAAAAGGCTGGGTGTCAGAACAGGATCTCGCCTGTCAGCGCAAGGGATGTCACCGACGGGATGAGAACCTGCAAATGGTCATACGCTGCATTCCAGATGGATGGAAAGAATTATTGAGCGAAACCACAACATGGAAACCAGGAGAATGGGGGTCTTGGTACAAGAAGCAGTTCCTTCAAGGGCCTACCGATTCTCCCATAAACAGCAGGGTTCGGCCACTCTGCCCGTATTCACCTCTTTTCCAATCACTCATTCGACTCAAGGGCTTTCATCCATCTTGAACGAGGGGGTAGAAAGAACAGTTTTAAATAACTTTGTGCTTAGAAAAGTGAGAGTACTGGGGCCATGGCCAAAATTGATCTTCATAATGGATACGGTAATTCAGGACTTGGAATTCGACCCAGCAGAATGGGCCTGGACGCCAGGAAGAAGCAAAAAATCTGAGAACCAATATACTCATCCAGGATTACACAGTCAAACTGGGTTACAACCTAAATAAAACCAAGGACCCGGATCCCACAATCAAAAATAGATGGATGAAGTTGATTGGTCCGGAAGCCACTCAGATATCGCAGATACCGTGGAAGAAATTAAAATCAATCCGACCGGTCAAAATTAGAAGCCTTCAATGACTTATCTCCTATGTAGCATTGCCGGTCAACCAATGGCTGCACATCAGAAGAAGACACAATGAACCCAATAGCTCTGACTTGTGTGTAGTATGCTCGAGAAATGAACCTGAAGACATGATACACTGTCTAATAAGGTGCAAGGAAGCGACGGAGTATTGGGCCAAAGCATCAGACCTTTGGACATCCCTTTTCCCGACTCCCCTCCCCGAACACCCCATCCAACTCCTCCTCTAAACTAACATTCCATCTCATAAGAAAAGTAACACTCTGGTCTATACGGAAGGAAAGGTGCGCCAGACCCATCGAAGGGCTATCAACACCAAGGGAGAAAGTTTGGGCGGAGACAAGGACACTAATCCAGGCAGAGACCTTATGCAAGTGGCAGAAGACGAGACAATCCATGACAGACGAGGCGGACCAGCAGCAGAGAACAACGAAAAAAATTACAAAGATTTGGCTGGCAGGCGGCAAGGTAGCAAAAATAAAGGACGTTCGCATATGTTGGAAGGACTGGCACAACTCACAAGTGGGCCTGAGAAGATAGAGAATCCAGCAAGCTCTAGCGCAGGCCACACAAGTATCATAGCATAAGGCCATGCAATTGGACAGGAGTTGTTCAAGTG